GTGGTCATTTTGGCCTGTTTTGCTCATGGCTGGACCCCATGTTCATGACAGGAATGGAAAGGAGGGGAGGGAGGGAGCTGGCAGGTTCAGTGGGGAGCGGGTGGGCTCTGAGATCCACAGGGAGGGTCTGTACCGCCTTCCTCATCTTTAAGGGGATTCCTGGCAGGGCCCACTGCAACTCTTACATGATGGGGGACAGCAGAACTGTGCAGACTGGGACATGCAACTGGACCTTTGAAAACTTTGTTTATTGGATAACTGGCCCTGGAAGGGAAAGACAAGAGGGGGAGAGAGGGAAGGGGGGATGGAGAAAGGGAGGGAAGGAGAGGAGGAGAGGGGGAGGGGAGGGGAGAAGGAGAAGGGGTGAGAGGGGGGGAGGGAAGGAGAGAAGGGATGGAGGGAAAAAAAAGGTGAGGGAGAGGAGGAGAGCAGGAAGGAGGGCAAGAGGAGGGAAGGAGATAGGGAGTGAGGGAGTGAGGAAAAGCGGCACCCCAGACATTGAAAAGGGAGCCTGTGATGACATCAGAGCCTGTCTAACTTCAGAGCAGACATGAGACTCAAGCTCATCCCAGCAACGACCCAGGTGTCAGTCTTAACCCCTCTCTCTACCTTTTCACCATTCTGACACCGGTGCCACTCTCTGCTTCTCTGCTGAGGTGAGTAATTCACTGCCAGGGTCACAGGGAACCCCCAGACCACAGCTGCAGTTATGGGGTTTATTAAAGAATGAGGCACAATTGGGGTAAAGGTCAAGGGGCCACAGTCAGGCTCAGGAAACTTGCAGGCAAGGTCTCCCCTCTTCAGAGCCTGCTTCCAGAGGCAGCTCCTCCTGGCCTTCGCCTCTGTCCCCACAGACCAGGTCACCGGGGCCCCCCTGGACTTCTCACTGCTTGTAGTGGACAGTCCGTGGTCCACTCCACAGCTTTTTGGAGGCTCCTTGCTGCCTATCTGCTTCTTTCAGGCTAAAGGACTTCGGTGGGCTGCCTGCCTGTAGCTACAAATAAGGCCCAGCCCCCTCACCAGGGCCAACTGACCAATCTCCTCTTGTGAGCCACAGACACTTCACTGGTCCAGAACTCACCTCATTTGCATCAATTATTGACCAATCCCTTTATGGTGCGCACTAGTCACAAGGCGTGCTGCAAGCCAGGACCAGACAAAAGGAATCAAATGATGAGTTGTCACAACACAACCAGAAATGTCTACTAACATGGACAGAAGTGACAGAGCTGGGGTACACTCCACCAACAGTCTTGGGCATGACCAGTTCATCAAGCAGGGGCCCCCATCAGGCAAAGCTCAGGGATATGGGGGCCAGTAGGAGATAATCACAGCAAAGCAAACGTCACAACAGAGCAAGGCACACAATTTGTGATTTCCCAGCATGTGTGGCCCTGATGTTTAGAATCTGCTGGAGGCTGGCACGTATGTGAGGAGTCCTGGAGGTACTGGGGGTTAAGTCCTGGTTTACTAACTGAAATGTTGGCAGTTCAAACACATCAGCTGCTCTGGAAAAGAACTAGGCAGTCTGCCCTGTGAATGTCCACAGCCTTGGAGACCCACAGGGCACTTCTACCCCAGGAGGGTTGCAGTGGGTCCTATGCTGTAGTAAGTTTGGGAGAACTAGGAAAATGTTTGAATATTGTGCAAACGATGAAGTGTGGCACAGAGACACAATGTGGAAACTGCTCAGTGTGGGGTTACCGTGCCCTCACTCCCTTAAAGGGGTTTCTGTGGCTTGTGGGTAAGGAGTTGCACTGCCAACTCAAAGGCAGGCAGTTCAAACCCATCAGTTGCTCGGAGGGAAAAAGATGCACCATCCCCTCTCCTGTGAGATGAGCTGTGAACGTAACAGCTCCAGAGCAATGGCCTTGACGCAGTCCGCTAGAAGTCCAGAAGGCAAGCTCTGTACAATAGGCTGCCTGGCTCTGGGAGGGGGTGGCTGCCCCCGCCCACCTCTTTAGTGACTGCAAGGTGTCTAGGGTGCAGGCCAGCTGGTCTCATGCTGGGGACAAACTGTGTCCTTGTGGATCTGTCTTTTGGGAAGAGTCCGGAGGGGTACTGTGGCCTCTGCATCTTATGGGGACATATGTCACCTTGGGGAGTGATGGCATGATGGCCTGGTTCAAGTGGTGGCGGTGTGGTGCCTCCTCTCTGTAGTGACAGTGTCGTGGGGGTTACATGAAATGGTGGAGGTCCCTGTCCTAGGCAGCCTCCCACCCCCACGGCCCAGCCCTCTCCCTTCTCACTCATGTGCCTGCAGCGCACTAGAAACCCACAGGGCACTGATGGGAGGAACCAGTGGATGAGATGAGGAATGGAACGTTCGGGAGACCCAGAGATCCCTGAACAGGGGCTCGGGACACAAGCACGAGAAGGCCATTGATGTCCGATCTTGTCAGAACCAATTTCTGTCCCCTCTGTGGCAGTGGAGCCCCTCCCCCTCCCTGGAATCAAGAGCTCTTAACTATTGCAAGAACAAATTATTTACTTTGTTTTTTGCTGTTGAAATGGTATATTTTCAGTAATGGAAGTTGTTTCAAATAAAAAAGGGGAAAAAATCCCCAGTTTGAGACAAGCTGGATTTTGATACAATTAGTGGGAGGTATATGCCCCCCAGGGGCCCTGAGCTCTGGAGCCTGGATGAGTTCTGACTCACTCTTCCTCTAGTTTCTGAGATTGTAAATTCCACCGCAGGGACACCACCCACCATTCTTCCAAGTAGCCACTGGTGGATCCGAACCCCTGGAGACATGCACCCTTTTGGTTAACAGTTCACTTGTAGCTCCACCTCTCCCCGTGGGCTGAGGCCTGTCCTGGGACTGTCTCTAACACCTCTGAAGTGAAGCTGGCTTCTCCCACCTGCCTCACTCCTCAGCTCCCTGAAGGCTCCCCCTCTCTCTGATTGCCCCTCCTGCCTGGTACCCAAAGTCCGAGTCCTGTGTCAGTGTGTGCATGTCTCTCTGCATGTGCGTGTGTGCAGAAGTCTCACGCATACTTGTCTCTGTGTGTGTGTGTGTGTGTGTGTGTGTGTATGCAGACATCTCACACATACATGTCGGAGCACATGTAAGTACATGTGTATGTGTGTGTGCATGCATGCACATGTGGGGGCCTGTGTGTCTGAGTATGCACACATCACGTGTGCATATGTGCAGACGTCTAATGCACACTTATGTCTGAGCACATGTGAGTGCTTGCACACACATGCGGGGCCTGTGTGTTTGAGTACACATACATGTGTATCCCTGTGTGTACACATGTGCAGTTGTGTGTGTGTGTACACAGAGCCTCAGCCCTCAATGCTGAGCTGAAAGTTGTCACTCCCTCCTCACTTTATGATGGGGACACAGGAGCCAGGACCCAGGACAGCCACGGGACACTCAAGCAGTTTCCAGTTGCATCCCCACACTAATGATGGGGACCACCTGGTTGGGGGAGCTGCACTGGGTCTGAGCGTGGCAAGGGCAGAGTGAGATGCTTGGACAGGCCCCCCCACTCTGTGCACCAGACCCTCCTCTGTTCCCCAGCCACACCATCATTACAACTGCCTACAGTCACCACACACCATCAACACGCATTCCCCACCTGAGCCATCAGCCTGGGGCTGGACACATCACCATGCACACCTGAGTTTCGGGGTTAGAGCCATGTGAAGGTGGCTATGGGGAGGCTGCAGCCCCCACACTTCCCTGAGGACCCCCTCACTGCACCTACCACTGGACTTCCACTCCATGAAACCTGCCCCAGTGTGGAGAAATGGATGCCTGGACAGGGGAAGAGAAGAGGCTCCTGTAGCCAATGGGACACAGGCAGTTGGCATGGAACCCAACCTCCCCTGTCTATTCCTCAAATAAAAATCAAAGCTGCCTCTCAGAGTCTGAAAGGAGGTTGGCATGGGCACTTGGAGGACAGAACACACTGTTTTTTGGACCACTAGTGGAAAGGGCAGTGGTTTGAATCCACCGGACACTCTGCAGATGATATATGAGCAGTCTCCTCACATTAAGATCTACAGCAAATGACCAAGATGCGCTTGGCCACCCTGTGACCACCTTCTTAACCACAGGACTCAGGTAGTTGACAGAGCAGGCTAAGGGCGTGGGGCTAACCTGTCATAACTCAGAAGGATGTGGACGCTGAGGAGGGCCTTGGCTGAACCTAACATTCCTCTCTGACCAGGATGAAGAGAGAGAAGACAGGCCCTGCCTGGGAGACCTATTGGAGAACTTCCCAGAGGGCAGCAGGGGTGTGCATAGGCTTAGGAGTGGTTGGTGCATCTTGATGCCCTCAAGGGTTGAGCCCACTAGAGACCAGTGCATGGAAGGAAGGCAGTGAGTCAGCCCAGCTGCAGGGCAGGATGGCATCTCTGCTGAGGGACAGGGTTCCTCCATGCAGGGGACCGCACAGTCATACTTCCTAAGCAGCATTAGGGGGCCCTGGGAAGCTGAGCCACCCCATGGCCCCTCCTCATGCTGGTGTGTGAGCACCTCACTTTACAAATGCAGAAACTGAGCCTCAGGGAGCAAAGGAGCCCCAGATGCCACCACGTTGCATGTCTCCCCTGATGCTACAGGCGGGAGTGTAGCCTTTGAGTCACAAAGCCTTTGAGCAGCTGAAGGAGAGGTGGCAGTAGCTGATGTCACACCTGTTCTTAGGGACTTTGAGGCCCCAGAAGGCACGTCCCCCATTGGAGTGACCTGAACGTCTAGTGTCCCCTCCCCAGTGATGGAAGGAGGAAAAGGGACTGGAGACCATGCAGCTCTGAGATGAAAGGTGGGAAGACAAATGGACATGGGCCCTTGGGTCAGGTTCACACCCACCCTGCTCCACTTCCTGGGGGTCCAGCAATGAAACTCCTCAGGGGGTGCCTGCAGCACCCCAAGGGGAAGAATGATTTGGGTGAGGAAAATGCTGTGCTCCCCAGATGAACACCCCCTAAGGTCTCTTAAGTAAGCCCAGAGGCCCCCACACCCATTTTGTCCCAGGGGTCTGCTGACCTGAATGGCGACCTTGACCGTGGCTGCATCCACCACAGTTGTGCACACCAGGCCACCCGGGTGCTGGCCATCAACACTCCGGTTCTGCTGGCCCATGACGAACAGCATGGGCACGGCCAGCAGCCCTGAGGCCAGCCACACGGCACTGATGAGCTTCTTGGTGCGGCTGCGAGACATGAGGGTCTTGGCTTTGAAGGGGTGGCAGATGGCCAGGTAGCGCTCCACGCTCAGGCTGGCCACGTTGAGGGCCGTGGCGTAGGTGCAGGCATCGCGCAGGAAATAGTAGCCTCGGCAGACCGCGTCACCGAAGGCCCAGGGGTGGTGCACCCAGATGAAGTTGTACAACTCCACGGGCATGGCGAGCAGCAGAATGAGCAGGTCCGACAGCGCCAGGCTGCCCAGGTGGTAGTGGACCGTGCTCTGCAGGTTGTGCAGAGACTTCTTACGGGCGAGCGTGAACGCTGTCACTGAGTTGCCCACCGTGCCCACCACGAAAAGGACCAGATACACGGCTGTCACCAGCACCTTGGAGTAGATGTCTGTGCGCACATCCAGGTCACTGCTGGGAGTGCTGTGGGGATGCTCTGTCTCGTTTTTGGAGCTGTTGTCAGGGGCTCTGACCAGGAGCGCTGCCTCCAGCCCCTGAGGCAGCGGGAAGAAGTCGGTTCCCTGAGCGCTGAGGAGTCCCAGCGAGGAGCTGGAGACGTTATGGCGCATGGTGGGCACACCGGTGAGAGTGAGCTCCCTTCAAGAGGAGGTCGGGAGGGGAAGTAGAGAGAAGGGAAGCTGTTCAGCAAGTAAGTGCCCGACCTTGCCCTGGCCAGCCTTGGGGAGCTTTGGGGAGCTCACCCGGGCGCTCTCTGGCTCTCCGATGATGCTCAGCCTGGCTCTCTCTGGTGTTCAGACTCCTGGATCCCCAGTTGCGGCAGCCGCGTGGATCCTTGCATACAGCGGTTCGGCGTGTGGCTGGACACTCAGACGGTGAAGGTAGCCTGTGCCTCCCAGCACAGTGCACACCTGGCTGCTTCGCGCTCCGCTCCTCCAGCCGGCTCCCTCTGCTCGCTGCCTCCCGGCTCCTCCCTCCCTCCCTGGATATATCGGCTGCTTTGCGCGCACACCCCTCCGCGCACCCCCGCCCGCCTGCGCACACCCCTTGACGTCTACTCGCCACAGAGCCCAAGCGAACCACAGCTCTTTGAGCTGGTGGCTGCACCAGAGCAGGACCCCCAGAGTGCTGCCTGTGCGCTCCCAGGGGCAATCTGACCCGGACCCAGGTCTGGGTGCTGTGGAGTAGTGGGAACAATTGGGGTATTCAATCAACCCAGCACACCTTTCTTTTCACTTGTCTCCCCAAAGTCTCATGCTTTGCTGAACCTTCTCTCCTCTGGCCCCTACTCATCTAGGTTCAAGGGTCCCCAAGTTCTGTAGATGGAACACAAAGCAAAGCCATGTGGGTTCTCACCAGCCCACCCAACCCTGCCATGGTGCCTTGGCAGACCTCAGCCAGCAAGAGGCCCTCAGGCCACAGTGCCCCTGGGCTGCCTCTGTCCTTGAGCTCTAAGTACCTTTTCCAGAAGGGAATGATTTTGCTCTTGACTACGAGCTGATGGTCAGTCACCATGTGACCAGGGCTTGAGAGGGGTGAGCTTCAGGGTGGACTACGTGCTCCCTCAGCCTTCTCTAGGACCCCTGGACTTAGCCCCAGAGTGCCCCAGGGCACAACCTGGCCCAGCCTCCCCAGGGTCCCCCAGCACTGGTCCCCAGCAGGGCTTGGGAAGGCCTGAGTGACAGATAGTTTTTGGAAGTGGGCAGGGTTAGTGTGTAAGCAGTACGCTGAGCATAATTAACACACAGGAGGGAGTGAAGACGCCAACTAGTTTATTCCAATTAAGCTTATCACAGATTTTTAAAAATTAAAGGAAGATGGGGTGGTGTTGGTGTGTTCAACCATGGATGCTGTCTGCCAACATGGCCCCCTCCCCAAGCCTGGGGTCTTCGGTGACCATGCTGTGTGTCACCTCCACCTGGACCCCTCAATGAGAAGGCAACAGGGGGCATGAGGAGGCAGAGACCAGTACCCTACACGGTCCAAGCCCATTTGGTTTTCCGTTTCCAGACCTCTTGTCTAAGCCAGCTTCTTTCTAGAGACTTCTGTTTGAGCTGTCTGGGAGCTTGGAGAACCATGAAGGCAACTTACCACAATATGACAAGGCATTTGATCAGATCTCCTTGGGAAATGCCACCGCCAGGGTCCGTTCCACAAAAGGCAAGTCTGGTCCCCTGAGAACTCTTTGTGATCCCTTCATGGTATCCCTCTGGCCATGCTGATGCAGCCATGAACTTCAAGGGGCTCCAGCTTCCCTGACAGAAGAATAGGGGAGCTGGGAAGCATCTGGGCCCTGACTGGGGTCCCTCTTGGTGATCAGCCACCACTAGCTTATTCATTGACAGTCTACCGCTTGGGGTGAGGGGTACAGAGCCCAGCGACCTGCTGCCCCCAAGACCCCATGAGACTTTGGGAGGAGCTGGCCCAAGGACCCAGTTCTTGGACACCCTGAAGACGTGTTGGCAGAGTGAGCCGCATGTGTGACTGCCCTGGATATCTGTGGAGATCAGCAAGTCAAGTCCGAGCTGGACATCAGAATAGAGGCTTCTGACTCACTGAGAAGCTGAGGCTGAGGAACTCAAGACCAACGAGGCAGGCAGTAAGCCGCCAACTTTGGAGGCTGAGGAATCCAAGCTCTAAAGGCAATGTGGTGGGTCACTGGCTCAAGCCCGAAGAACCAGGGATCAGATAGGGACAAGCCAGATGCAGAATCCTGATTGAACAAAAGAAAGAGAGCTTTGGCAGGTGGCCCTACGCATTCCACATGGGCCTGGCCCCCGTGGGAGCTTCCTGTCAGAATGTTTCGCGGGGTGATGACGTCCTGTTAGGTCACATCCAGGGAGTGACCGCACCACAGCTGCCAGACCAGAGTTCCAGGCAGCCAGGCTACTTTCAGCCTCAGCTCCGACAGGGTGATGCTGCCTGGCTGGGAGCTCCTGGGTGTCACAGAGAAGGCAGCTCCCTCTGCCACCCTGGACTGATGATGAAGCCATCACCACTGGAGGTCCATGCAAGAAGGACGGGTGAGTTCTTGTCTGTCTCATTTGTGGTTTGTTTCCCAAATCCTGAAGTCTGGCAGGTGGTTGGAGAAGGATGTTGAATTAAATGAAGAAATGGGCTAATGTTCGTCCTGCGCTGGCTCTCAACAGTTCCAGCCTGTCAGCTGCTGTGCAGGATTGCCTCTGGAAGCAATGTAGGCGAGTCCACGCCGTTTGACTCCTGTCTGCTGCCCTCATGCATCCTGATGACCACTAAGGAGCATGTCTCTACGCTTTTCCTCTTCTGAATAATCTGCTTCATTGGGGTCATAGGACACTTCTCCTTTTGTGTTTCCAAGTTTTTCTACGTAATAGCCTAATCCTGAATGTTGTTTCTCATTTGGTTGAACCATGCATGCTCCGCTGTGTGGACTGACCATGCTGTGTTGCCCACTCCCCTGCAGTGGACACTAGAGCTTCTCATGAGCAGTGCTGCTGCAAACACTGGGGGACAGACCCCATTTACAGTTATTCTGTGCACGTAGCTAGGAGCGCTCTCACTGAGTCCAGGGTAATGATTTTTTTAAAAATTAAAATTTTATTTTAATTGTTATTTTCATGAATGTTTACCTGGAAGTTAGCTTTTTGTTCATTTCTTGTTGCATCTGGGGTAATTCCGTGCTGAACTCCTTGAGCAGTTGCCAAACTCTTCTACAGTCACGGGACCATGCTATGGTCTTGCCAACAATAGGTGACAGGTCCAGTCTCAGCCCCAGGGTTTCCCCAAGTATGTCTTCTCTTTCCTTGGGCCCCTAGGCCTGTGCCAGGTGAGTGTTTCTCCCGAGAGGGGGGCTCACTTTTTTTTTAAATTTATTATTTTTGTGTGCATGTACCGTCAAATCAGATCTAACTGGTACAGGAGGAGATTGCCCCTCCTTCCCCGGCAGAGCATCTGGTGGATTCGAACCGTGCACCTCTGGGACTGTAGTTGCAGCTTCTTGCCACTAAGCCACCTGAGCTCCCCTGGGGCTCACTTTTAATGAAATAAATCTACCCACAGTGATAGCTGTTGGCACTTACCTAGTGTCCATAACAAAATACCCAACCTTTGCTTTCTCCTGGTTTCTGTCCCCACACAGCTCAGCAGTGGGCAAGGGCTGCCGTCTTCTGTGATGCTGGGACCGGGGACACATGGGAGCTGTAGACAGTGGCTGTGTGCAGGAGGCCCAATTGTTGTTGGGCAAGAGCTTCCGGTCCTTGTGGGCTGCAGGCAGTCCAGCCCTTCTGGGCGTGGACCTGGGGCTCAGGGAACTATTGGTGGTTGAGTTTGTGACTGCCCTTCCCCACCCCCAAACCTAAGGCAGACATACTAGCCCTTTCCAGGACTCCCCCACTGCCTGCGTCTTGTTGGGATTGTCTCTTTCATGCTGGAAGGATGCAGTCAGAGCGCAGCTGCTCTTGGTGGAAGTAGTTCACACTCCATGTGTCAAACCCAAGCTTGAGGGACTCAACAAGGGGGATTAATCCAGTTCAGGTTTCGGTGCTGGTGCTGCTGCCCCAAGCCAGGGGCCTGTGAGATGTCAGGTCCCTGAGCCAGGCCGGGGGGCTTGTGGGGGTGGATGTCGACTTGCTCGAGGTGTCGAATATTGACTGTGCACATGGTGCAGCCTATGTGCACTGTGTCCCCCGTGCAGTCTGCATCCCCCATCCATGGGTCCTGTGCTGTCCGTGTGTCCTGTGCCATTGTATGTCCAATGCTGTCCGTGTGTCCTGTGTCCTTCATGTGTCTTGTGCTGTCTGTGTGCCCTGTGCTATCATGAGTCCCATGCTGTCCATGTGTCCTGTGCTGTCTGTGTGCCCCATGCCACCGTGTGTCCTGTGCCACCATGTGTCCTGTGCCATCCATGTGTTCTGTGCCGTCCATGTGTCCTGTGCCATCTGTGTGTCTGTTTGTACTGCAGCATACAAGTTGTGCATCTTCCAGATTGGACAGCACCAGAGGGGCTTTTTGAAGAGAGCCGCACGTGTACACACAGACGCTGAGCTGGGGTGTGAGTGTGTGTGCTGAGTGGAGCACGAGCTCTGTGCACCTGCAGCATTCACCCCCTCAGTATCCCATCATTTCCTGCCTGTGGGTGCATGTGTACACACAATGCTCAGAACGTGTCCATCACAGGGACAGGGCCTCCTCCCAGCCTCACCCCACCCACTTTCCCAGGAGTTGGACAGGCCCCTGGGTCAGGCTCTGCTCCCACATTCCTGAAAACTTCCTGCTTGGACTTCCAGAGCTCATCGGTATCCAGCCCAAAGCCCTTTCTGCCCCAAGGCTGCCTTCCCAGGGGCTGAGGATACTTCCAGAAGGCTTGCTGTGTGGCCACCTCCAGGACACAGTGGTGGTGAGTGCAGGTATAGTGCCCAGAAGAGGCCATCTGGGGTGGAGAGTTCTCAGCACGGGGTGTGCAAGGGAGTCTGGTGTCAGGGACACGCCCAGTCCCACAGGTCACCCCGTAGGAAGAAGACCCACCTCACAAGGTTACTGAGTGGGACCCCCAGACACTCCTGAGAAGGGGTGTCCAGCTTGACCCAAAGAGGGTTCTGAAACTACTGGCTTGAGAATCTTGAGGCATAAGCCC